TGTTTCTTGTCCTGCTTCTTGTTAGCTCCGCTCTGATTATCAGAAGAACCTGCTGCCTTTTATAAGACCATCTATAGTGTTTTAGTGCTAGGACATGTAGTTTAATGCCAGGATTTCATGGAAAATTTCAGAGATACCATGATACAGCCCCCAGCATAAGTGGTTCTTGGTGCAGTTTGTAACAACAGTTGTAACAAGAGTAGAAAGAGAGCACAGCTGCCTTTCAAACAGCTTCAGTCTATGTTTTAATGCATAGATAGTAGAAGAAGGAGATGCAGGATTGTTTAGTCCTGTTGTTCCTAAGATTGCTCTTGTCTGTTGGCACCCTGCCTTTCTCTTTTCCTGGTTTCACTTCAAAGTGGGAAATGTTTATACACTACCTAAACAGACACCACCAGGAGATGAACAAGATCACAGCCAGGTGGCATTATCCTGCAAGGAGAAAGGGTACTGCAATAAGCTCCAAACCCAGGAAATATTTTGTGACACATACCAGGGAACTCTTTAGGAGAAGCACAGGAAGAAGCAGAGAGGAGCCAATGCTCCTCCACCATGGGAGCACAGGATTCTGCAACCAGAAAGATACTTTGGATAGCAAAGTCCAGTTTTGCTGTAGCAGCAGAATGGGTTCTGGGTAGAGTGGCAGTAAAAGGGTGGCTGAAAAGGTTAGTAGTAGTCAAAGAAAATTAAAAGTACGAGGCAGGTCAGCAGTGCTTAGGTAAGAATAGGGAAGTGCAATGTCTTTTTATGGCAGACTCTGTTTGGGGGAAAAGCCTAGGAGAAGGTGGTGAGGTTTCACGGTGCTAGGGATTACCCTCTCCTGGAACTGGCACCTTCTCTGGCATACAGGGCCCTCTAAGACCTTGCCTTAGTCGCTGCTCTCCCTGCAAGCAGGATCCTTTCTCTCTCACCCCATCACCCCCTACTTGCTTTCCTGTGCCTCCCAGGCTGGTGAATGCAGGAAGGAAAATGAAGGGCCAAGACCCAGGCCCTATTAGGGTGAAATCAGGACACCGGCCAGCAGAGCAGCACTTCCTTCTCCTGTTCCGGGGGGCAGATCGGGAGAGTGCAGAGTGCCATCTACTGACACTCTTCCTGCAGGGCCTTTCTGTCCTGCTCCGTCAAAGTAATACTTAAACCTCCCTCTCAGCAATAATGCTCACATTAGAAAGCTGCATGGGCAGCAGTGAACATTTCAAGCTGGATCAGCCTGCTCTGTGTCCTGGGGCACAGGCAGCCAGAGTGAGCCTTCAGTGCCCTGCAGGCAGCTAGCTGTCTCTCTCCTCTGCCGGCTCCAGAAGGGAGTACTTTCCCTATGAACTCTTCAAACTGTTTTTTTTTTTTTGTTTCATTTTGCGTTTCCTTTTTAGTGATGAATAGGGAAATCCCTTCCTGTAAACAAACAGCAGCATGAGAAGCAATTTCACATGCTCTTTCTAAAAGATTATTAAAAAAGGATGTATTGGAAAAGCATTCTCAGAATTTGTTTCTTTCCAAAAACATCATTTCAAGTGTCCTTTTAAGGTAGTTTCAAAAGGAAAATAAATATTTTAAAGGACTCTTCTCCATGCGGATTAAAAAAAAATCCTGCAGAGTATTGTAACAGAAGCATTTATCCTATGAAAGATAGATTTGTCACAGATGGTACTAATGTTTGCTGGCAGTATGTGAAGTACTTTAGCAGCATGGCTCCATGCTCTGCCCCTTTCTTTGCTCACTTCCTGTGTCTCTGTTCTTTATCCTATTAATGAACTGCTGGGAAATCATGCTTTTGCTTTCAGAAGACTGCTGTATTCTCATGCTTACCCCTAGACAGCCATACAGTACCCTATGTCATCAGCTAGGTAAAACTGGCAGATCTTAAACTGATGCTGAATGACGTAAATACTAAAATACACTACAGTGTAATAGCGCGTCGTCTTCTCAGCAGAAATGTAGCTTGATGGTGAGCAGAAGACCAAACCCAGGTCATTGTTCTGGACAACACAGGGCCTGTTATCACTGGAACGTCTTGCTCTATTCCACTGAGTTGATGTGTGCCTTTTGGGCACTGAGATGTATCATAATAGGGTCTGTATCTTTGTCAGTGGTTTGCCCAGTTAACCACTGGTTCCCTTTGGTGACTGGTGATGTGTTCTGGGAGGAGGGTCATATTAATAAGGTCAGCTATTATGCTACTATACGGTATCACATAGCTGCTTATATCAGAATGGTTCCAAAGGGCCCCACTTGCAAGGGTAAAGTTAGTGTGCTCAGTACTTCAGACATCACAAAAATAGAGCAGTTACCTCCCAGTGCTTATCACAGGTTCAGGGCACCTGGTGATACTCTCTTTTGTTTGCCCAGTGAACGCAAAGACTGTCCTCTATGAAAACAATTTGCTTTTTGTTTTAAGTTTAAGGGAAAGCATACTGTATCATGACTTTCCTTTCCTTATATTTGGTACGCTACTCCTCCTTAACCTGGGCATCCACTTACCTGTAAGGTAAAGACAGCTACATTAGAGGCTAACTCCTAGTCTGTGCTTCTAAGAACTTTCAGCCTGACGAGATACAAAGATTAAAAAAAGGGACTTTTAAGAAGGAATTGGTAAATAGATAGAGTCTTCCTGTGTTATGAATGTACAGCTCAAGTTGTAAAGTTAGCATTTTCCTACTAAAGTTTTAGAATACTGGAAAAGGGTTTCAGGCACAAAGGAGGAAATTCAAATTAACACGAGACAAGACAACTTTTACTTTTCTGTCAGCCAACAGAAAACTGCAATAGCTGTTACCTGTAGTGCATCAGCTAAGAGGCATCTGCCTCCTACTCAGGGCAGAGTTGTAAGTTTCTGCACTGGGCTCTTCACTACGGCTTTGGAGCAGTCAAGACAATCCCGCTCATTTCATTTTCTCTCAGAATTTCTTGTATCTTTCCCACATACACATTTAATTCACACATCAACCCCCTTTCACAGCATGTGATTCTTATTTGGGTCCTTGGAGCCAGAGATTACACCCCTATGGAAACGACATATTTGCTTTCATCTTAAAGCACCTTTTTTGACACACCATGAATAGGACTAAGAGGTTCTTAACAGAATTCTGTCTATGAAACACATCCTATGGAGCCGAAGAGTAAACATTCGACAGACAGGCAGGTAATTCTATAAAGATTTGATTACATTGCAGTCAACCACCACAATTACCAACAAAAATCAGGCTCATCTCAGAAGGGCTCTTGTCACAGGGTATAGATATGAAACACTGTATTACCACTTCTTGCCCTCCCTGATCAGAAAGAGAAGTTTCATTTCTAGGAGTGCTGCAAAGTGTTCAATTCATCTTTAGATACTCACTTTTGCTTCTCACAAGTAAATTTTGTGCCCATCTTTTAGATTTTCTTAACAGTTGTGCAAAACAGCAGCAAGTGACATTCTGTGGTAAGCAAAGTATTCTCCTAACAGTGTATTTCATTTATGCAAACAAGAGCTGTTACTCTCTTTTTCCTACTATATTGTCAATCACTGTGGATCAAGAAATAAAGGAGTATAAAAAAAAACCTGTCACTTTTTAGAAATAACCTTAGCCTTAGTTGTAATTAGTATTTTGCTCCAATTCAATTTATTATTTTTCTGTATGTTCTACTACATTTACTCTTGGGTTTTCTGAGGGGCCAAAGATAAGTTACTCTATTTTTACTCGAGGAGCCATAAATAAGTTACTGTAAAACTACTTAAAATATTTTTAATGTTCCACTCACAGCAGTTGTGAAGCAGGCCAGTGTTCTCCTCACTTTACAGACGGGAAAACAGAGGCAGGAAGCTTAGCAACAACCTTAAGGTATAACCACAGCAAAAAACTGTCATTACAGTTGGCGACATCAGGTTTTGCAGTGGTAGACTAGTATATCCTTCCATTTCCCAGAGGGGCGGAGAAGAGGGGCAGAGTACATCTGCAATTAGTAAAGACTCCTCAGCTCTCTTGGCTCTGGATCGTGAAATCTTTCATAAATGCAACTGTGTTATCATTTTTAGATGTAGAAAAACTGAAAATGAAGGGATGAGTCTTTCTAAGTCACTCTTTGGCAGGTTTGACTAAAACCAAGAAATATACCCCTCATCTCCTCACTTGTAATAGACATTCTAGCCACTAGACCATATGATTCCTCCTGACACTCTCATTCTGAGGACGTTGTCTCCATTCTTTGCTTTATAGTTGAACTGTGACTACAGGTAGGAATCCCTGCAACACTGACCATTCACTGCTCTTTCACTGGTCAAATGTAGAAAACTCAGCAACCTCAACAGTGGAAACCAGGTAATTATTTCCCTCTAGAGAACATGTTGATTAACCAACACTCTCAGGATAAGAGCAATAGGCCATGGCTCAGATAAAGAAACACACAAAAATACATATATATACACCTGACAGCCTATACACTGCTGTTATATGGATTAGGGACTGAAAAAGAGTGTATAAGCACAGGATGCTAACTGTGAAGGCCATCACAGCACCTTTGCAGTAAGGCAGACATCCATCACATTAGTTAGTCTTGTACAAACATGTATATCTCAAAATAAAAGTATAGAGAGGTGCAGATCCCGGAGCTCATTATCAAGATCTACACCCATTTTTCCCAGCTTTATAAAAATCAATAATTTAATAAATGAAAAAGATTTTTCCATTCACAGTGATAAGGAGCAAACATTTCCGTTTGTGATCCACACAGACAAATCTATCTGCTTTGTATAATGAACGCCACATAATAAATAGGGGTTTATTATTTATTACAGTTTACTGTATAACACATATTGTATATGTATAATACAATAAAATGTATAATATATATTATTATACATTTACTATTTATTATACAGCTCTGTATCAATTCAGATACCGCTTCAGATCTTACCATTTAATGGTTGGGTTTTATGGGATTTCAGCAACAAAAACCTATAGGTTGTGGCTTCACAGTTTTAAGTCAAAGAACTCTGCACATTTAGACTTCTTCAGGAGCTCTGACAGTTTTTAATTTCTACTATGTAAGTTCTGAGCTCAGAAGAGTTCAGTGTCCAGGTTTTATAAATCAGAGCTGAGGTCAGTGCCACCAGCCATGTTCTCATTGGGGAGAGGAAGAAAGCCAGGGTCCCATAGGTTCGCTGCAGGAAATAGCAAGAATAGACCTGCCAGACCAGCAGAAGTGCCATCGTCAGGTGAACCAGCATGACCAAGAGGCGTCGGACGTGCTGGATGTGAGAACGGAAGCTATAACCCCGGCACCGCAGCAACAGGCACCAGCAGAGGTAGGCCATCAAAGGCAGGTTGAAAAACAGCATCTGAAAAAAAAGAGTAGAGCAAAATAAGACACCGAGCAAACCAAATGTTCAGAGTAACATATACCAGGGCATAGGGAGATAAGAGCACATACAACTGTTCCATTCTAAGGGCTGAGTGCAATTCCCAGAGCTGGAATCTCAGGATGCATTTCCAAGAGTGTCACTGATGGAACTGGGGCTGCCTCTACCCCAGTCCCAGGCCAAGCGTTCCTCCCCCCTCCCTTGCGGGGATTGGCACCCTGATACTTCAGGGAGCTGGTTCATGGAGCTAAACTTGACAAAAACCTATCTCAGAAAAAAAGGAAGGCTTTTCTATCAATTTAGCTTTCTGACCCAGCCCACTGTGGTGTCAGACAAGTGCTAGACTGGCACAAGGGAGGGACCATAACAGGGCCAGTGCTGGTCTTAGTCTGGATTAAATGCTGAAGAATTACACCCTCTCTTTCAGACTAATGACAGCTGGGAAAACCAGAAGGCAGCCAGGTCAGACTGGTGGGAAAACTAGACTCACATCTCCTTAAAGAGCGACACCTACTGATCTGATCTGAAGGGTTATTCAGTGCACAAGAGGAGCCCTGGTCACTCATTTCCCTTTGCTAAATCACTGCAGCCTGTGTGCGAGCTGCGGGCAGAAACATTTAGGGAGAAGGAGGTGGACTCCAATCCAGACATCCAGAGAGTTCAAAGCAATGTCAAGTAGAAGTACGAGAAATACATGCACAATCTCTTCCTTTTCTGCCCTTTAAATTTGAAGGAAGGTAAGAAAGAGCTGTCATGATCAGGCATGGCCTCTAATCTTCTTTCACTTTCCAAGACTCCTTCCTTTGTAAAACTATAAATAAAGTTCAAAAAAGTTTCCCAGAAGAAAGCAGTTGTCAGCGTTCACCTCTAAAAACTTACCTGTAAAATCCCAACAACAAATGTCAGACTGCCCTGTAAGAAGTGACCACCAACAAATACCCCAAAGGAAAAACAGGCCCCCACCTGGCCATCTATCAGTTCACCTACAAACCATGGTCCTGAAAGAGAGGAAAACAAACACATAGTACCATCAGAAAATACGATACAGAGATGGCCCGCTTTCGCTGAGCACAAATTGGTTAACTGGGGGAAAACACTTACCTTTTACTCATCTAGTAATAAACCTAATGTTTTGATCCTGAACAAACAACAATCTGATGAACATTCCTGATGAAAAAATGCATGGTCCATCAACGATTTGTGCCATGCAATAAAAATAGCTTTAAGCTAGTTTCATCTCTGTGACAATTTTGACACCACAGACAACATTCTCCTGATGACAGAAGTGAAAAGATCCTTTCAAATGGTGGCCTTTCCCCAGAATTACAATAACATTTATGAAAGACTAGGTCATAAACTATCTCAGCTTAGCCCAGATTACAAGTGAAAATGGGCAGGTTGCGCTATCGGTTATGCATACTGTCCTGACTTCCAAGAAAGTAGCTATTTTAGTAACATATTTTCAGAGAAAAGTAAGTTAAAATTTGTAATATCAAAGCTGAGATATCTTAGCGACCTGTCATGTGAAATGTCTGTTCTACGTACTCATGTCATACCAAGGTACAACCAGATCTTATTCAAAGAATAAGAAGTGAAACGCAAATTAAACTTTAAAATACTTATTTTGGTTTCAGAGTAATTTAATAATTCAAGTGTTTAACTCATTTTAGGGATTCTAAGTCAGGCTCACTTACAAACAATCGATTTTTTTTTTCAAATTGATTTTATAACTAAAGTAATTTCTCCCCATTGTCCAAGATTTTACAAGTCTCTTCTTCATCAGAATCTGAAGTGTAATTTAAAAATACTAATTTATGTCCTCCAGTATTTTAAGCTACTTACCTAGAATGGTGTATAAATTCAGAACCAGAATTGAGTAATAGAAGGTATTTGTTTTACTGAAGATATGAAGGGAATATGAGGTCAGACTCAGTAATCCTGGCCGTTCTAAAGAGAGGCAACATTTAAGAAAAATGCACTCAATTCAGGTTGCAGCAGATATATATAAAATATTGGTCTTTCTAAAACAAATCTGCACATTATTTACTCAGTCTATTAAAGAAGAAATACAGAAATAATATTTGGTGTGTCTACAGCACGAATGCAAGGGAATACGTTTCTGCTATTACTGTGATAACTGAAAGTAAGGAGCCGATAAATATAACAATTTTATGCAGAAAACAGGGGCAAGAAAAAGCTGCTATTCTAAATGAGGACACTTACTGTATGCAAATAAACATGAATGATCTTTCTATACCCAGAAAATTAAGTTAGCTAGAATGAAAAATATGGAGAGTGTTAATATTACATGAAAAGCATATGATTCAGAACAGTAACTGTGTAAACCTAGAACGCGCAGGTCAGCACGGACTAGAATAAGTGGGCTTTCTTTGATTAGAGCTGTTTGGTACTTGATGGGCTCTCATGGAAATTCATATAAAATGAAGGCTAGGTGTTAAGACGGCAACAGTCTGAGCAGCTTGTCATGTTATCAAAACAAATGATATTCATTCTCTAACAAAAGCAGACAATTCATAAATTAAGATCCAGAGAGCCTTCCTATGTAACTTAGCTTTTGGAACTTGACCTGTTACATGGCTGCTCTTCTCGCAGAGCATTAAGTCCCAAAGTCCCACAGAGCTTGACTTTTGGAAATCAACAGCTTTAACAAATCCCTTCACTAATTTGTGAAACATTTGTCAAGGTTGGCAGGAACCTAGCTGATCATAAAGCGCTAGCTCTTTTCATTTTCAGCTCCCGAGTTCCATAAAGGCAATTGAAAACCTATTGTTCTTCTATGTAAAAAGTTGGTGTCGTCACCTCAGGATGCTACGTGATTATGGGTGTAAAGGAAGGGACCTACACTGACATGCACAGGAAGGGAGGTGGCTTCCAGAATAATGTCATCAGTAAGGTGCGGTTCAAACAGTTGTTTAAAGGATTAACACCAACAGCTTAACAGTATTAATTCTCACTTACTGGATTTATCATGAACAAAATACCACGTTAGGAGAGAAGCGATGTAAGTATTATTTCTGAGAATAATATTTCTGAGAACCTGTCATGTTATTTGCAAAGACCAACAAAAATTATTTTTGTAGCAGGAAATCTGCTTCCCCACTCAGCTGACAGTAATGAAAAAGGGCAGGACTAGCAGTAATGAAATAAGCACACTTATATGGACCTAACACAAACCAAAACATTCTTCTCCCTATACACAGGTTTTTTCAGTGAGAAAAATCAACATGAAGCCGTTGAGTCTTCAATTCATTGAGTTTTTGTTTAAACAAAGATATGTGATCAAGTCCTAAGTTTTTAATTTACTTTATTTGAAGTATTAGAGGCTTTATGGGCCCTCTTAAAAATAAAACAGCGGTTTCTGAGAACCAAAGCCAATCCCATGATACTAGCTGCAAAATATATATATGGTAAACAACAGCGTAATTATTTGTATTCTTGGCACACAGATAAATAGAAAATAGTCTTGAGATGATCAGATCCTCTAAGAATGCAGGCAAACACTGGTTCTTACCTTTGAGTGCAGGTTTTTGGAGGTGTCTGAAGATAACGAGCAAGGCAATCTGAATCAACACAATCAGCCCAAAGAGCACACGAGCCTGAAAAGACAGTTTTAACTCTAAGCCAGCCCTAGAATAGTAGCTACCTTTGAGCCTCCCTTACGGGCATCAACTGAAAGATAACAACAAAGATTTTTAATGGAAACACACATTCAAAGCTCCATGGTGTCATCCCACTGAAGAGGCAAACATAAAACTTCAGCAACAGGAAGCCTTGGAATATGACAGTTAATTCAGGTCCATTCAGATTTCAGTCAGAAATAATTTTGTAGTGGAAATACCTTTATTCTGGTAATACATTTACAATAATTTGCATATTATTCTGACATCTGTACACTTAAGTTTCACTAAGAAGAAAAACAGAAAGCAGATTTCAAAATGGAAGATGAATAAATTCACTTGGGTTTCTAAGCTATTGGACTTGCAAGTGAATCTTGAATTCATGGGTGACGGGGTGACTAAGATGGGTGACAGTGATACAATTGAAATTTTTCAAAATTAGTGTTTCTAAAACACTAAAGAAGTGTACATATACTTCCTGTGTAAAACGTATTTTCTGAGTGCTGCACTGAATGAAACTACAGCTTAAGACACTGTGGAGAACATTCGTTACGGATTAAGGAAACTAATAACAATTTTGAGCCAATTACAATACTGCCTACAGTCAGGCAGCCTTTCCTACGTAGCTGCATCAGTGGACCTTAACAACTATGACATGCCTTCTTTTCCATCTACTGAGCTGTAAGACTTTTGCGTATAGCCTGGAACTTAGTGAAGTCAATGGGAATTTTGCTTCCTCTTTGCTAGAGCTAGCCATAATGTCAGCAGCTGATGTGAAACTTCTTCCTGCATTTGCCAGTGTGCATTACAATAGATCATAGTGAGATTTCTTTGATTTAAAATTTATTTTTTCTACCATCTCCAGTAGCTTCTTTTCCATTTCTTGCTTGCACAAAATGTGCATGTGGTTATGCTCAAAAATGGACAGCTGTGACTAAGCCCAGGTCAACTATTTGCGGAATCATTGCTGCACATTCATGTTTGAAGAGTGCAACTTGCAAAAAGGAACCTGAAACATTTGTGAAGTTCCACTGCAGTAACATCTGAACAAAGCAAAGTGCATTCAAATCTGCTATGAATCAGGGAAATGCCTCCTGCAGTTTCTGGGGAAAGCAAGCATGCAATGACAGCTGTTTTGCTGAAAGTACTTACCAGAACATAGTGGTCAGTAAGGAGAATAACAGATGGCCAAAAGCCAAATCTAAGAGAGAGTTTTTCTTCCATAGCAAATATATGGCCCCGAGTGCTAATTCTTCCTGAGGCATCCTAGATGGAAATGAAATGGGGGGAAAAAAGAAGTACCAGTTGTGCTAAAGTAATACATTTCAAAAACTACACAAAACATCAAGTTGAAGTAGCTAGCTAACATAATTTTTCTTAAAAGATTTAATTGGTACATGCATGGCTGGCATACTGCTGTATTAAATACATCAACTTATGGAGTATTGCTTAAGGACAATTTTGTACTTCAAGTAACTTCGGGATTGTTAGATTATAACCTGAAAGCACTGCATAGGAAGGAGACCCCTTCAGAGATTCAGCAATTTATGGAAGGCAGTGATTACTTACTGGCCACAGCCAACACTTGTTTTCTGAAAGCTCAATTCTAGATAATATCATGTCTCAAAAACATTTTGAGGCTTTGTAGTGCTTCATTTCTGGCATATTAATTAGTTACATTATAGTGACACAGTGTCCCTTTCAAATTGGAACCCAGTAGCGCATTTTCACCCCTACTTCTAAATATTTGCTCAACAGAATTCCTTGACAATTGTTTGTGCCTGTTTAACAATGGTACCTTATCTCCCAGGACATAATAAACTAATGTTTATATTAAAGGATTCAGTATGTCTAGTGTGACTACAGCTGTGACAACAATATTTGGACAATCCCAGAAACAATGCGCAACAATTGAATGTTCATATCTTTTCCAGGTAATTAATTGAAATTAGAGCTTCATCCCTTTCTCTTTCCCCAAACTATGCAGGTACCAGATGTACTAGTGATTTATGACTGCAGAGGAAAAGAAATTAATTTTTTAAAAACCCAACTGAGGTATCTATAAGATAACAAACACGTATTTGTGGTGCTAATAGCCAACTGTTGCTATGCAGGCCTATATAACCCTGCAGTTGTGTGTCTGTTTTTCCTTCATCAACAAAAAAAACATTTATAAAATGCAGCTTTCCTAAATAAAGCATCACACATGCTAGAAGACAGAACACAGACAGTAAAGAGAGGCCATGGTAGGAGACAGGCAGGAGGGGAAAGAAGAAGGCGGCGGGGGTTAAAAAGGCACATTTTCGTCCTTGTCCTGAGAAAAATGCTGCCTGGCTGGATTCTACCAGGCAGGACGAAAGCTGACTTTCCCATTACTATTGTGCAAATGGGCAGAACGTTAGAAAAGTCTGATTGGGTTCTTTTAAGGCCACTTGAAAGCACAAAAATAAAATACAGATCTAAGAGCAGAAGCGTGCACTGCAAAATGTTTTTTCACCCAGGCAACTCAGTATCAATAAGTCTGGTGTTCTGGAAAACATAAACCATGTTCACTGTCATCCTATAAGGGACCAAGAGAAGAACTTCAAATAATCAAATAAAGCATTCTCATCTCCAAAATCGACCTTATCTGGTTCCTTTGCCTTCTAAACTAACTAATAACATGATGTTACTTTATATTTTCCTTGACTAAGCCTGACTACCTTTTCAAGATAACCTTAAGAGTCGATTGTCACCTGCTACTCAAAATAATTAATTTTTGATCAACTACTTGCTCATCTCTACTGTCTTATTATGTTCCCCATGATAAATAAGAATCTTTCATTTAACCACATATTTTATTAATGTTTCAGCGCTAGGCAGTCCGTGTCTTTTCATTTAATAAATGCATTAATTTCTGTAATCAGTCAGACAAATATGAAGTGAAGTCTGTTACGTATTTTGTCCCTAGTTATGTGATGCAGCAAGTTGACACAGCAGACATGACAACAGAAAGATTCAATACAAAGAGCGCCAACAGTCACCTCACCTCAACGGTCACATCTATGTGATGGAATCCCTCACTGTAGTTTTGTGGGCTCCACTTCAGTACGTAAAGAGGGCCAGATGCCTGCTGAGCACTCCCCAAGTGAATTCCATCTATATAGACTTTGACAGAGGTAATGAAAGAAGGCGAGAAGGCCAGAATTCTAAGGAGTGAAAATAAACAAATTTGTTACAGGAATTGCAAATTTATCATAATGCTTTGAAGAGAAGTCCCTAAAGATCACGTAACTTACAGTTAAGAGTTCAAAAGGGTTAGAAATGAAGATGTTGAAATATCTGTAGACTAATGATAACACAGTAGCTCTATTCTACAGTTAAGAAAAGAAGTTCCATATGATATTACGCAGAAGAACAGGGTAAAAAACTGGGCTGTGGAACAGGCAAAAAAGTAGCAGGGATCCTCAGGTCCTAGCAGAAATAATCCTAGCCCTACCAAATCAAAACAAAGAGAACTCTTGCTGTCAAAACATTTGGTAACACATGCAGAATACATTCTCATACACACACGCAGACACAAAATCAAATACTTGTAGATGTTATCATTTAAAACTGGCAGTCTCTCTCCAAAGTCCTTTTCATGTTTTTTCGTAGTCAAGGTGCAAGCTCTCAGTCTTTGTAACTGAATTCATGAGAAACGGAATGGAATGCAAGCTTGATATTACAGATCTGAGATACAAAAAAAGTGGTATCACTTGGTAGTGCTTATATTCAGAGAAACAGTGATACCAACATAGATTCAATATATCACACATCCAAGTCCTTTCACTTCTGGTAATATAAAAGACACTGTAGAGTATGTTTCACTCACATGAAGGAGTCTCATATAGTTATGGTGAAATACTCCACCAGCTCATATAATCATGAGAATGCTTCAGATAAAACTATAAACAGGAAATTGGAAAATAGGTAGCCTCAGTGGGGCACTGCTTCCTAACTAAGCAGTATGACAAACTTCTTTTAATTCTAATTCTGTATATTCAATATACCCATATATTTCATGCATGTTGGTCTCACAGCAAGTGTAAGATGTTGGAACGGGCATAGCAGGAAAAAAGAAAAGGGTAAGTGGGAAGGAAAGTATATTATCACCTATCTTAAATTTAAAAAAATTGAAATACCGAGGAAAAAATAAATAGGAAACGTGGAAATGGAAAGATAGACAGACGTAAAATAAATATGAAAATTGACAGAGGCTTAAGATGTTTTAATAACGTAAGAGGTGAAAAACTGAAAACAAAAACAAGACAAAAAAACAGGCTGAAAAGTCTGAAGCAAAAAGAGAAAATACCTAGAAAAAAATACAGAGACAAAACCCAGAAATCAGTGGAGGCAATACAAAAATGTAAGATGAATAATTATAGTAGTAGTTAAGCGTTGATCACACTCTACCAGCTTTGGTCAGACAAAAAAGACAAAAACAAATCTGATTTAGTGCTACATAATCTGCTTTTATCACAGACATGGTATTAAGTGAGATCTCAGGAATGATCATCTAGAGAAATCCGAACTCTGAGAACAACGGACACATTTTTTATAAATAAATACATGTATATGAATAAAATAAATATATATTTATATGCAGATAAATATATATATATATTATAGACATACAAACATACACAAACACATAAATATAGATGTACACTATGACTAAGAAAAAAAATCTTAGCTACTCAAATATTGTGAAATCAAGACATTATGGGTACCTGATATGGGTGGAGTAAATAATTTTTTCTAATGGTTCATGAGCAGCGCTGCTATAAAGGAAGGATTTAGGATTGGTGATGAGAATTGCAGGCCATTCTTCAAAGTTAAGATCTGCAAAGCTAAGGAGGTCATGATCAAACACAAGGATCCGGTACCTGAGATGAAAGCAAGATAATTTTGTTGATACAAACTACTGCATACACAGCTTCTCCCAAGTTCCTAAATAGTATTGATTTGACTTATTTTCCATTTGCTCTATTCTATACTTCCTTTTGTATTAACTGATCCTGTATTAACTGAACAGCAGGTTACCTCCGAGCGGGTTCATTTTGATTCTGAACCACTGAAGCACCACTCAGAATTCCAAATGTCAAGATCTACTCTAATTTGCACATGAAGCAGCTAGATGAAAATTATGTTAAAGAATTCAAATATCATGTACATTACAAGAGCATCTGGGTAGGTATGCTAGTCATGGACAAAGACTCAGTGTGATGGCTTCTGCACATATATAAGTTTCTTTCTCGGGATTACTGCAGAATAAAAGCTAAATATATTAATTAACTGGATCACACATTCCTTGTAGCATTAGACACTTCTTAATCTGCTGCTCAGATGACATTTCCCAAGGAGACTATTTTTGTTTCTAAAGTTCCTACAGCTGGTGCAGAGCACGAATATTTTAAAGTACCGATACTGAATTTTTAATTACAATCTGCTTGCCTATTTTGAATGTTAAACACATATTAATTGGACACCTAGATATCCTCTTTTTAATTTCTAAATATCAGGAATTAATCAAAAATTACTTTGCATAATTTGTTAGCACACTGCTGGTGTGGGGAAAAATTCCCAAACTTACACTCAAAGATTGTTTTCAAAAACATAATAGTAATATCTAGTCAGACAAGTCTAAATTCTCCGCACAGGATAAAAGGGAATCTCAGAATAAGCTGGTAAGCTCCATATATTAATTTTTCCACATAAGGTTTACTCACCTCCTGCTATCCATCCAGTCTCCCAACTCCAGTTCCAGAGTGCCATGACGGTGTTGACTGTGCAAGGCTGGCATCAGCCCACCCAGTGTATGGAAATGCCCACATAAATAGGCTGTGGCAGAACTAATAAAAGAACAGAAGAACCATGATTATTGTGGAGGCAGGAAACACCACTGTAAAAAAACTGAAAAGTGACAGACATGTCTATGGAGAGAAGCAAGAAATGCACTTTACACTGAAAAGATGCAGGGAAGAAAGTAAGATGCTACCTCATTAAGGTTCTTATTCCTGGAGCTGGAGAGATGATTGTGGAAGTGGGATAATGGCCAAACCAGACAGTATGATTGCTGTGGAGACTTTCTGTTGCCATCAAAGACAGCTCTCTCATTTGATTCTGAAACAGGCAAGCGTTTAACAAACTGTTTAACATCACGGCTATTTGGAAAGAATAGCAAAAAGAAAGCAGAAAGAAAACAATTAATAATGCAATTGTATCTTTGTATCTACAGAGAATACCCTGTTGATTGCTTCAGGAGCCTGTGCATGAGCAAATTGAACTGTTAACCATGTCCCAAAAATCAGATGTTAGGGAAAAAAAAGAAAATAAGACTTCCAGCACATTCCTTTCAACTGAACAGAGGTAAGTGCAGTATAAAGAGAGATTTTTATAAATGATATTTCTAACTTTTCTACTGTCTATTTTTACAGGTGAAGACAACATGCTTGAATTTACTTTATAAATATTTTTACTTTACAATTATCAGCCCCACTTATCTTTGGGGTTGCTAGAAGGCCTTCTGCAGGCACTACAGATCTCAGAAACTGTGTGCTGTATGCTTCAGGAATTTAACTGAAGGAACTATAATGCTGAATATTGAAAACATTACTCAGCCCTTGCTGTTCATGTCAACCAAAAGTAACACTTTAACAGCACTTAAAGGTTCTCTCTTTCAGTTGTTTGACTTCCAGTCTTTTAAAATTCCAATCTTTTGGACAATTTTAAAATTAAAAGTGTCCAAAGAGGCTCCCAGGACCAATAAGATCTCAAAGTTTAACAGAAGAGGCAGGGAAACTAAAACCAGAAAAGAACACAAATTCACTCCCCATTTTGCAGATCATCTTTTAGGATAATCCAGAGAAGAATCAAATATCCTTCTCCATCCTACCTGAAAAGAAATGCTGTAACACATGAATGAAGGAGACAGAAATAAAGATATATTAAAAAAAATGGACTCTGCATTCTATTCTGGGTTAATGCAACAGGTTTATTAAGGGGAATTAATATTTCATTTGGCCTTTAAGACTATTTTTACACAAGATAGTTGTCAGAAACCTGAGCTATACAATCAAATCACTGATAAAAATTCAACTTGTTTTTAAATTACTGGCAGAGTTTTAATCTGTAGTAAAGTTATAGATGTCTACCGGCTACCTCTTTTTTTTACTGTTTTGTGCAAAAAACTGCAAATGATGCTCTCTGGACTCCTGTTGCTGCAGGATTAGCAAGCAAATGCTTAACTTAGTGCAGTCAAGGACAGGTGCTCCAGGTTTGAGTGCATTTCTTAACTGGTCTGCGAAGCTACGGCACCCAGTATGGATTATAGTAAACACTGAGAACAACAGTACTGTCCTTGGCACTCCTAGACTACCTTTCATCTAAGGATCTTCAAGTGCTTCACAAACATGTAATTAAACATTAAGCAGCCCCTTAGAGAAGATTAGGAGGAGAACATTTTACTTATCATTGAGGCTGTTATCTCAGGCAGAACATAGCAATGTTTATCAGAAAACAGTAACTCTACGTGGCACTTGCAAAGAGTATCTTCAATACAATATGTATCAACAAACTACAGAGAAAATTACAGGGAATTAAAATACTGTTATTAAAGCTGACATTTGATTTAAACGTCAGGATTAATGTTCTTTCAAAAAAATACCACAAAATTTTTATGGTCCCATGAGATCAAGACCTCACTTTCATAAATGACACATTTCTCTATACTGTTATCTTTTGCGTCATTCCATTGATAACGTTAGTGCAATCCTCTCATCTGCAATATTAATGAAGTAAGGAAAAAGGAAATGGAAAAGGAAAAAGGAATGAAATTGGAAAGGCATTTTTTTTTAACTTTACAGAACATAATAAACTTATGCAATCACTAAAGTATAGCTAAAAATTATGAAACCATTCACAGTGCTCTTAAAAAAAAATTATAATCTGATGTTTTGCATTGGATTATTTCTTAAGAAAAAAAGCACAGATACTGCACATGTTAAGAAACACATCCATTTCTCGAAATAGAAACCATCCTGCGCATAACAACCTAAAAATGCAGAGACAGTTCTAGAGGAACACAAATCCTTCAGGCACTTCTTTATAAAAACAAACAAAAAATACTTCAAATTAAAAGAATCATACACTACAGAAGTACAAAGGCCAGTAAAAATCATGTCAAGGCTTTTAAAATACCATGTTTAAAATCCCAAAGAAATTGTAGGGCCTCTTAGGTCCTGGGCTGGGGGTAGCATCTACGCAGATGAAGGAATAGTTTCCAAAAGACGTGGTGTGGACGTAATGGAAAGAGCCATCTTTACGCCAGGCAGAGTATTTCCTGCCAAAATAAAATGTAAATTTTGCTGTTAAAAAAGCCTGCAGCAGTGACAAAATAATGAAGTGTTTAGGATGAATACAAGACTTCTTGCATTAGATCTAGCTCCATCTTGCTACTGCAGTAAGGTCCACTCAAAAAAATTAATGGCATGGAAAAGTCTGTACTTCAAAAAAGATGTGTCACATGGATCACGTATCAAGACAAGCACCAGATTAGTACAAAAACGTTTAAAAGGCTGGCATAAATACACTTTCCCTGAGCAATTTGGTGCTCTTTTACAGACAAAGGACAGGCCAGCAGCATGAACACAGCATGAGACAAACCAGCAGGACGACAAGACAGTAGTATCTCACGCAACTCTTAACTAAAGGAGACCTACAAAGGACAAAAGTTGATTGTGCCTTGTGTTCATTGCTGGTATCTGAAGAAGATCTGAAAGGATTTTTCAAAAATATCTTTTGCGTGCTTACCTAGAAACATCAAGAACATCAAGTCTTGCCTCCCCTATTTTGCTGGGGATCTCTTAAGTTACCCTGATGTAGAATGAAATACTTGAGCTGCTGGCTGATGGAATATGATTTTGAACTAAAGACATACTGAATCTTTTCAATATTTTTCAAAAGATCCAAAACAGAGACACTATACTACACCAAATCTTTTAAATAGCAAATAAGACAAAAATTCTCTTTCACTTAGTACTCTTTTTGGTTCTTGGGATAGTAAATCTTATCAGTTCTCCTGTCACCCATGGAGTATCATCAGACTTTTACATTCAAATTGCATATAAGGATACATACACGCGCAGACATTCGCTCACAAACCTACATAAATACAAATGTATATGTAAAGTGGATGGATTAACAGTCTGATTTAAAGTAGAATGTGGATTTCTAGGTCCTTCCCAAGCAGTTAAAGCTGAAAGCACCACTAAAATTATATGACAGGTTTTTGCGTTTGGATGTGAAGGGCAGGGAAAACTTAGGGGTTAAACAGGTGTTGTAACTAAGGCTACCTTTGCAGTGTACAAGCAAAAGAGCCAAGTGAAGAGTTGAAAGTTTCCTCATCTAGCTTCATTTGAAGCTCCAGTGTCTTCCCCAAGAACATCTATTTACCCATCATCTGCCATCTTGCTTCTCTATTTCTATTTTCACTTTTCCAAAATCACTCAGATGTGAAGAAATGTCACAGCTAAAGTGTAGACCCACGCACCAGGAAAAGCCCTATTAAACATGAAGAAAGAATCAGAAAATGTGAGGTCTTCTGCTGTTTCCTTTTTCTCTTTTCTTCTATTCTACAGGGGGAAAGCCTACTTCAGAAACATTCACTTTACAGGGACATGTCACTCAACTCTTTTGAGGGAGCTGAACACATAATGCACTGAACATTTCTTAAACAAAGGAAAATTTATAATCAAGGCAATTATAAAAATATAGAGGGATAAGAGACAAGAAGTGTGAGCAAAGAATTTCTCTGCTCTCTCAATCTATTTTGCTCGACTAACTGGCAATGGGAAAGACAAAGAGAGTAAAAGCAAATACTGGCCAGGGCAGTAAAAAAGTCAGTGAAAAAGTGTATATGTGACAAGTAAAAACAGAATGTTGTTTAGCAATTTTGACCCTGAATATTATGGTTATCTGTGTGGCATGTAAAAGTACCTGTAGTAATTCTGAATGCTATCCAGGTGTGGAATGTTGAATGAATCTGTAAGGGAGAGAAAAAGGAAATGAGGAAACTCTCAGACTAAATTGATCACTACCCTCTGTATTTTTATTTCCTGGTGTTGAGATAAAGTAGCTTCAGCAGCACTGACAAGCCATATTAAAAACAAAAAAACAAACACCCCCTCCACACACACTCTGCATAATTGACATAGTGTAGCCTGTCCAACTGTGCAGAGAAAACATTATATACCTTCCCTACTTAATGCAGTAGACCAAACTATTTGGAACAGTCTTCTCACTTAAGTTTCAATTGAAAAACAAAATTGTTGTGGGAAAGTGAATTGTCATTTAGTGGCTACGAGCTAGCCAGCTGATTCCAGTTGGTCTAAAGCCTTTTAGAAGCTTTTGGGACTGGGTAGATTCTATACAAGCAAGACCTAACACATCGAGGGAAAATAAAGTAGCAACAACACTAGAGAATAACATGTGGAAAACAGAAAGCAACTTTTACCATGATTCCCCTTGATGTCTATCCACTTGGTTTTTTCCATGACCCTTGATCTTTTCAGGATCGACTGGTAAGTTTGCCACTCTACTTCTACCTGCTCAGACCCCAATTTATCTCTTGTCTTAGCATCTGTCAAGTCACCTGCAAATGTACAAAGGTGAGATATAACCAGAGGCCCACACAGTTCACACAAATACTGTAACAAGGCAAGTATGTAGTCCAAGCCTCTCGGTGTAAGTGGCTGCAAGCCTCCTCTGTGAAATCTAGACGTTCCTGTCATGTGGTACAAGAGGTTACTACAAGCATAAATGTTTTCCAGTGCAGTACAGAGGTATCTATCAGATGGGCAGGCTATTCCAACAGCTATCAACTATGTCATTACAGCATTTTTACTATTGCCATGCTAACGTAAAGGAAGTTATTATGCATGAATTATGCCTAAAAATTCTTGTCACAGAGACTTTGTTAAACTCTGTATCTTCTGCATTTCTATCCTTTTAGGTTCTATTAACATTTGAGCCATTCCTTTTTGTGTTCAGGCACTATCTAACACCTCTCTGCGCAGCTAGTTAAAAGATGCACGCTAACTATCTCTGAACTGCTAACTTAAAAAAAGGCAAGCAGCAGAAGTAACTATCTGTAGAGACAAAAGTCCAGGGCTAGATCCGAGAGTCTAAAGCCTTGCCTATAGTAATGGCTAAAAGTCTTTTCCAATTGCTTGCCAATACCAATCAAGTTCAATAGCAGGAACAAGCTGTTAAAAGAAATGGCAGGGCTTACTTCACCTGTCTTGGTATGATATGTTTAAACAAAAACCAGTAATAAGAATCTTATGTTAGTTCAAAGCTGAATTTTACTCAAATGAGTACGGATTATTCTGAGACAGAATACCCAGGAGAGGAACGGGCTCTTAATGACTAATCAGAGCAAAGGCTGACTTCTGTCATTTCAAACACAAGGAATGACTTAGAATCACTACTACGATGACCAGAAAGAAAAGGGCTGCTTGTAAGGACAAAAGTACAGTGACTAATATGGGGAAAACAATAGCTATATTGCATGATTATGTCTTAGTTATGTATAACACACGTAAACTGACTGTCAAACTTAAGATACACTAAACAAAATTGAATTCTCTTGAGTTTAGATGTCAGCCTCTTCTGGAACTAGCAGTCTATCTACAGCTGCAATTCCATTTTCATTGCTTAAGATATCTTAAGTCTTTAACACTGTACTCTGAGATCCTATAACTTTGCTTGCTTGCTTTTCCTTTGACGACGCGTTCAACAGGAAGTTCACACTTCTGAATTGCTCACCTGTTGCGAGGACAAGTGCTGGCCGAATGATATCAATTGTTTCAGAACAGAATTTTTCGAAGTCAGGAGCTCGTTTGGGATCCCGGAATCTGCTGATATGAATATCTGACACCTGCAGAAAAGACAGAAGTGAAATACTGTCCTAAGCAGAGGGTTAGTAATGCCCAGGTTGTTCTGCAAAACCACGTACATAAGAAGGTAATGTAAGAACAGTCACAGTGATTCATACTAGTATCAGGGATGCAGCAAGCAATGGAAGTGGATGACTAGGAAAGTGCAAGAGCAGAGCAATCATAATGATACTTCCTCTGTAATTCCTAAAATCATTTTTGCATCAAGTTCCCTTAAATTTAAGAGCATACGATAGTTTGGGTCAAATACTTAGTTATCAACTTGTTTTGATGACTTTAAGCGGCCTGCTGACTTCCAAATTCTGGGAACCTCTGGTGCAACACTGATCTTGCTGCAAGAGAGAACACTAAGCAGTTCTACGAAGTAAGAATAGGTTAAAGCTACCTAGGACTTGAAGTAAAGTAATATAGTACCTGGTATGAGGCTTCTAGCATTCAGGCAGAAGAACTGCTAACACTCTTGCCATCCATTTTAATGGAGCTAATCAGTGTGTTTGGTTCCCATTCCAAGTGCTTTCATGAATGCACAAGTTGCCCAGGAAACAATAAGACCACTTACATGTAACTGTAAACGATGCTCTTTATCTCTGAACCAAATAATCAAAGACCTCACATCAGAAAAGCAGTACTGGAGAGGAGGTAAGAAAAGTACAATTTTTCTTTTCATCGCAGCTTTTTAGGTCAGTCCAGGATGAATCTGTGGGCAAACACCCTCAATCTAACCACTCCACGTGAGACAATCAATTAACAAATTATACTTCTCAGTTCAGAAGAATGACATTTGATGCCTAAATGAGAACAGGCACATGCTCATGACTATTAGACTTCTCATCGTTTGAGAGTGAAGTACATTATTTTTTACATTCAACTTGATTAGCCTGGCTCTTGTAAAGCTTTTTCCTTCTTGAAAAATCCAGGTAAAATACCTTGCAGAAAAAATGTTGTAGTTTCTACTTACTCAGTTTTTTGAACACTTACAATACATTGGCTCAATACAACTTTAAAAATTCTGCTTAGGAAAATTCCCAAATTGCTTATATGGGATTCTTCCATAGATCAGAATTGGATGCTAAAACAGCTAAACGCTTTTAGAAATAATCATAACTTCATTTCTATTGATGCATTGATGCATTCATGGCATTATGAATCAACGAGCTAATAAAGAGCACAGTAAAATTACCCAATGCACCAAACCTACTTTAATCATCGGCAAGGTTACAATATCTTATTTTGCTTCTCCTAAGCCCATGGAGTTGCAATTTGTCTATCTCAGCAATGAAATAAAGAAAATAAAAACTTCTGTTGTTGCTGTCTCACGATGCCGGAGCAAGAAGTCCTATAAGTCTTGTTCTACTGATAACTGAGGAGAATACAACTCCCCATTCCAACTTTTCAGCAGATAGTGGCTGGGAAGCCTGACTTCCTATGAAAATCTTGTCACTTTTTTTCCTACTGTAATTCTAGTTTAAGATTTACAAAAGGCTTTTCTCTTAAGTTCTAAGAGCTACAGTATCCCAGGACTTCTGCAGAGCTGCAACTAACTTAACATAACTAAAAGCCATGAAATATGAAGATCCCGGGAGTGGAGCTTCTCCCATTTTGCAAAAAAAATCACATGAAAAGATGTCCCAATGAAAAGGAAAAGAATGGGCAAGGTGAAAGCTCTTCCTAGGCTGGGAACTTAGTAATGTATATAATAAAATGTAGGTAAAAGCCCATCTGCTGCATTTCTTTTCTCCTTCTCCTGTCCCAGACTGAGGTAGAAACTTGGTATCCCTAATTGCTTCACAGAAAGTGACTTTTATCAGAATGGTTTGGAAGAGACTTAGAGATGAGGAGAAATCACTATCCGTTTCCCTTACCTAGAAAAGGGGTGTCTGGGAAAAGGCGGGCATTAAGAAAGGAGAATTCTGAGGCCTACAGAAATGGTAGGGTACACCAACTGATGGAAACAGGAGAAAAATCATCTGTAAGCTTGTCAAATATCGAACGAGAGAGTGAATATGGGTTAGGTGAAAGAGCCCTGCATACAAGATTATAGGATGAAAATCTCAGCTTAAGAGAAGACAGTCCCGTGGCTGGGAGGAAAACAAAGCAGGAGATGCTGGAGGAGGAACTGTTCATGTTGAGTTCTATCCAGGCAGTGACCTGGGCTGGACCTATGGAGTCACCAGGGAGCCTGAAGCCTGTTTCCCACAAGATCATCAGGCACTACGCTGGATTTAGCACTTGGTTAATTTCCAAGTTAGGTCAATGATAAAGCAGCTGTTAAAGGGCATGTTTGAAAGAGAACATAACCACTTAAAAGTAAAGCCAAGTCTCAAATTAGCTGTGCCATGACCTATCCTTGGGAGGACTCCATTTGAAGTCACGTAACCAGAGGGAACATGGCACACAGCGAGAGAAGCATGGGGCTGAGCATGGTGCCTGTTGGCCCAGCTCTACAGGTGCTATATCTTGCCTTAGTTGACTCTTCACAGGATAGCAACTCGAGACAGAGGTTTTATCTAGAGTAACTCAAGCATATCCCTTACCATGAAATCTGCTTTGCAGTAAAGATTAAGCCTTAAGTGACATAAGGAAAAATTACTAGATAAACTCACTTAGAAAATACATGGCAACTGGAGAGAACAAAAGGAAGCTGGACTAATAACACTCTGGCTTATGGAAGACGAGCACTGCCTGCAGCTGATACGCTTAGGCAGCGTGTCCCTGAATTTTACAATAAAAATGAAATAGTAAAAGGAACCTATTTGTTCAGTGGAACAGCAGAGCAACTTCTGCGACATCTCAGCCATCAATTAATGGCAAATACGTAAACAGCTTGCGGTTAGTTATACACTGAGTGCTTGAGGAATGCCTTGGAGAGAAGAGTCTGGAAAGAGGCCACAGAAGCACCCAGATGTGACAGGCCACCTCCAAGACCATGCCAGATTAATTTGGAACTGATATTCAATTTGGAAACTAAGCTGCGTACATAAAGCCTAACGCATACCACCGCTTTAGCGGCCCTGCACTTTCTGATGCCGCAAATCAGCGCGGCAGCTGTCTCTGTTTCACGTAACTCCCCAGCTTTTTGGAAGAGGAAAGGGGCATTTTTCACGAGGCCATTATATAATGGGTACGGGGTGCCCACGATCATATATAGGATCTTGTAATAATTAGGCGAGTTTTAACTACCTGCTTCTGCCCTGCACAGCTTATCTTCCGGCGGTCTGGCCAGACACCTGTGCCTTAGGCTCGACCGCGAGCCTCGCGGACGGGGAAAGGCGAGCGCTCA